ACTAATTATTAATTAATTTCTTATACTTACTTGAATAAAATTAAAATAAATAAAAAAAATGTTTCAGATTCTAAAAATGTTTTTAGCATTAAATAATTTTATGTATACTATTTTAACACCTATTACAAATTTACTAATATTGTTAAGCTATAGATACTTGTTTTAAAATTATACATGTGTTTAATTTGAAGTACCCATTAAATTGTGAGTTAGTGTGGACATTTATATCAATAAAATTGACTTAAACACTTAAAAAATGCTTCTTTAATGTCTCTAATTTCAGATATGAGAGATTAATTAAAAAAACATAAATTTTAAAATTTTAAATGTAGGTAATAATATTAAAATAAATTATAAATTATTTTTGTTTTGTTTGCCATTGCGTAGTATCTGAGTTAGAATAATTATTTGTTCACTTAAAAACTGTACATTCGCTTAAATCTAACAGTATTTATCAATGCTATTTCCCTAATTGTAAACAATAATTTTCTGCTTTTCGGTCTTTTTTCAAAACATATGAAGAATGAAAGTCAAAATATTCTTCCAGTTTATTCTGAATCATTTATAAATACAAGTGATAGTGATATACCTATGAATTACAATTCATTTGATAAAATTAACGTTTCTGAAGATGATAAAAGTATTAATAAGATATCTGTAAATTTAAACTTGTTAAAAGATTCAGTGCTCAAATTCTCATTACGATATTTCAGTAAAGTGAACTTTTCTAGAAAAGAAGCTACTGAATTACAAAAAAATATAGTTCATTTCATTACTAATATTATTGCTGCTGAAATTAAAAATATTAGTTTAAAAAATTGCACTTTGCCTCAAATAAAAGACTCACTTAATACCATATTTTGAATTTTATAAGAATCTTTTTCAAAATATTGATACAAAGTATACATTTAGAAACAAATGATTTCTATAAACAACCTAAAAAAAAAAAAACGAAAGAACATTTTATGAATTAATTAAAAATATTAACAAATTAAACAATAGTGGAAAAGATTTAAATATAAATGTTAAAAATAGAAATGTATATTTTTCATTAGATTTGATTATAGGGTATAATTTGGGGCTTAACACCGTTTTAGGATTTTCGAAATCTTTTTCTTCAAATCATTTTTGCCGATTTTTTGTCACAACAGTAAAAATGTCACTAATTTTCTGGCTAATGAAAATGTTGATTTTTTACGAACTATAGAAAATTATGAGGATAATGTATTAAAATATGATTCAAAACAAACAGTAATATTCGAAAATTCAATATTTAATACTGTAAATTCTTACCATGTTGTTGAGAATTACGCTGTCGATTTGATGCATGACAATTTTGAAGGTGTGGGAGTATATAATATGTGTCATATTATTTTAACTTTTTTAAAACAGGGTTGCCAACTTTGAATAACCGCAAACAATGCGTCAACTATGGAGAAACTCAAATTGGTAATTTGTCGCCACCATTGAAACTAGTAAATTTAAAAAATTTTAATACGACAATGTCAGCGAGAGAAATGCAATGTTTTATTCATTTCTTTCCTTTACTTATAGGCGATTTGATTAATCAAAATGATCCAACTTAGGTATTTTTAATACTTTTGTAGAAATGGTAGATCTTCTCTTATTGCCTAGTAATGATAGTGAAACTATTTTAAAACTAGAAAATGTTATTGTAAATCATAATAAAAAGTATGTAGAACTGTTCAATAACACACTTAAACCCAAACACCATTTTTTGACTCGCTATTGTACAATAATTAAGAAATCAGGACCTTTAAAATATCTATGGACTACACTTTTGAATCTAAACATAGACAATTAAAATCATACACTAAAAATATTAATTCAAGATTAAATGTTCCATTATCTTTTGCTACAAAATTTTCAATTCAATTTTCTGAATTAATGTGTAGTTTTGATACTAATTTTTATAGTTCATATACTCCAATAAGTGAAGGAACTATAGCTAGTACATGTATATATTTTGATATATTTAGTAATTTATACTTAGGTGATGCAGTTTGCATGGTTATGCAAACTCATTATGCTTTGATAAACTTTCATATTTTAACTTTGATCATTATAGCTTTTTTCTAAAAAATATTTTTTTTTCCATGAAATTATCATTTTGATAATTTTTAAACCACTACTATTGTCTACACTGTCTCTCGTGTTATCATATTTCACTTATTAATTTAAGAAAAATATTATATTTGATTATATAATGATAGAATGATAACACTGAATGTGTTTAATGATAAGATATCGTATTTTTCTGTTATGTCTTACAAAAATCAGATCATGCAGGAAATTCGATGATACGGTATTAAAACAGTTAACGAATCCATGAATAAATATAAGTAAGTTTCATTATTACAAAATAATCTATGACAAAGTAATCTTCATGTTATGTAATGGGGGTCAGATTGATTTCATACAAATTAAATATATTTTAACTAAAATTGGATTATTTTTATTTATAATATAGATATTATTGTGGTTTTTAAAATGAGGACATATAAATCAAAGTTGGACAAAAAAAATTACAGAAACTATTGTAATGAAGTACTTGATGAGGCATTGCTAAAGGTAGTCAGTGGATTACTTTCCATCCGAAAAGCTTCTGTACATTACAATGTACCTTCTGGTAAATTTTCTTCTACACAATCAATATTATTATTTTTATTTATAGCATGTATTAATTCTCTAGGCACTTTGAATAATAAATACCATGGGAAGTATATTCAAAGAATTGGTGGACAAACCGCATTAACTGAAAAAGAAGAACTGGCATTAATTAAGGGCATTATTCCTTGTGCAGATTGAGGCTTTCCGTTCTCTACAATAGAACTTCAAATGTTTACAAAACATTTTTTGAAATCTGCAGGAATTGTCATAAGTAAATTAAAAAATAATACTCCTGGTTCGGAGTGGGTAAAATCTTTTTTAAAAGGTCATCAAAATTTAATAGGAAAAAGACTAACGCAAAATATAAATAAAGCAAGGACTGGGGTATCTTCTGAAACAATCAGTGAATATTTTTCTAATTTACATATAACTTTGCAAGATATACCACCTTCTCATAATTTTAACTATGATGAGACCAATGTCTCAGATGATTCTGGCAGAAAAAAAATGTTTTTTCGTCGAGGAGTAAAATATCCTGAAAAAGTAATCAATCATTCGAAGACAGCTATATCTTTAATGATGTGTGGTTCAGCCAGTGGAGTGCTTCTACCTCCTTACGTAATATACAAAAGTGAAGGTATAATGGATCCAAACGTACCAAAAGGTTTCCCATGTTGTTCAAGAGGTACTCGGCATAACAGAACCTCACATGGGTGGATTGATGCAGCAAATTTCTCTGAATGGTATCATTCTACTTTTTTGCCTCATGCGTATCGTTTGCTAGTGAAGTATTCGCACCGTGATCTATTCTTTAAACACTGCGTTACGGTAGAGAGTGAGAGGATTAATTGTAATTAAAACAAAACAAAACACTTAAATAATGAATGTGTACTGTAATTAAAAATAATAGATAAAATAATGGATAAAATAATGTATAATATACTAGATCCAGCTTAACTGGAGTTGAGAACACGGTAAACCGTGGAGCCGTGTAATCGCGTCTAGACCGACTGACTACGTGACCCTCTCCGTGTGAGCGCCTCGGCCCGAGCGAGTCCTGGAATATGTCCACTCAGCAGATTCCAAAGGCTCGCTCGCATGTCTGCAGTCACGTAGGCCAGTGAAATAATTGATTGACTATACAAAAATAAAATATACAGGGTGGACATAATTGTACAGGGTACAACACTAGGAAGGAAACTGCTTATAGGAAATAATTTATCATCTCATTTTATTCCAGATGTTTTAAAAGCTTGTAAAGAAAATAATATAGCATTTGTTTGTTTTCCACCTAATCCTTTAATATCTTTGTCAGCCACTTGATGTTTGTTTTTTTAGGCTTTTCAAAGAATCTTGGAGAAATGTTATTTACAAATATAAAATGACAAACAAGAATACAAAAATTATTCCAAATCGTGATTTCCCTACTCTGTTAAAAGACTGCTTAAATAATACGAATCTGGATAAGAAAACCAACACCAATGAACAAATTAAAAATAATTTAGTCAGTGAATTTAAGGCAACAGGAATAATGCTTTTTAATCCAGACAGTGTTTTGAGAAGATTGCCAGATTATAATGATGACCATACTAACGAATAAGTTAGTTAGTTAACTGATAAGTTGATTGCATTCCTTAAAGAACAGTGGTTTTCAAGTTCTATACAAATGATAAGAAGAAAAAATAAACGCTTACGCATTGCTCCTGGAGTAAGTGTCACTGGTAATGACGAAGAAACTGCAGAAGAGATGACTGAAGAAGCTGAAGAAGAGGTGATTATTGATAATATAGACTCTATTTTAATAGTAAGAGAAGACATACCAAATCAACCAGTGTATGAATCCATTAAGATAGGAGAATATTTATTGGTTCAAGTGGAATCTAGTAGAGCTAAAGGTACTATATATAAATATGCAGTTATAGTAATAAAAAAATTGGTAAAGATGAACTGAAAGTAAATGGTATAAAGTATATGGACAATCAACATTCAACATTCAAATTTGTAGAAAATGATGTTTTTACAATAACATTTGATGATGTGATATCACTGTTACCTGAACCACAGGTCATTAACACGTTAACCGCCATATGCCCACCGGCGGCCGTACAGCAATGTTCAAATTCTATACTTTTATGCCCGCCGGCGCCCATAGTTGATCATTACTACCACGCCACATGACCAGCCGGCGACCAAAAAATCATATTTGAACAAATGCTTATAATTTATGTGGCGGTATAATAATGAATCTTTAAATAGTACCATGGCGTAGAGAAGAATATGACAATTCTCTTGGTATAAAAAAAAACAACATTTTGTTAATTTGAACCTTTGAAAATATTTAATGAAAATGACAATATTTATAAATACTTTTATACACAACTTGGTATTAAATACTGTAAATTATATTACAAATACTTAAATATTGGTTTGTTTTAAGAAATTATTATATAAAAAAAAAAATAAAAGAATACATTTTTGTGAACTTCTGAACATAATAGGTATAAAAAAAATTCTTAAAGTAAAATAGCATAAAAAAATAAATTATAATAAATATAATTTAATTTACCTTACATGTTAAGTATGTAAACAAATTATACAATTTTAATATTTAAAATACGTATTAAATAAAAATTAATATAGAGTTATCTACCTATAAAAACCAATGAATACCAATGGATACATTGTTACAGAAAATTATATTGTATACATTGTTGTTTAAAAAAAAACATTAAAACATTAGTTTAAATATGATTTTTATTAAAGCAATCTATACATGTGTATATTTTGCAAGTAGAACAATATGTAGTTACTTTTTTTGTTTCAACACTAGCTTTTTTTGAACCGACAGCTGTAGTTTTGAGCGAGTAGCAATGAAGGCACCTTTTTCTAACTTTTCGGTTACGGTAATCTCTTTCTACAGTCTCTTCAAATTTGTGATTAGTTTTTCGGCCATGTTTAGTTGAAGTAGTTGGACGATCTGATATTATAGCAATCTGCAATTGGTCTAGTTCAAGTAATACGTCAACTAACATTTCACGGAACTTTGTGATGGATATTTTTTTATCTGAAGGTTTATTCATGTTATATACAATTAATGCATTAACCACTGATGTACCGAGTAACACTTCAGTGGCAACTTTGTGATACCGTCTAATCGATTTACGTACAGGGGAATTATAACTCGAAAGTTGGTCAGATAGATCGATTCCAGCTTTTCCTGCATTATAATCTAATATTATTTGCGGTTTAAAAATAGACTCATTTTTAGGATTTTTTTTACCAGTTTCGACCATGTTAATATTGTGTTTAGTGGACATCATGGAAACGTACCTTTTGTCGTGCCATTTTGCGACTACAATTCCATTTATATTTTCTCTACCGATAATTTCACCAGGTCGTAGCTTTGTTTTAAAAATTTCAGGTATTCTTATTCGATTTGATCTTAAAGTTCCTATAAGATGAGTGTTGTTTTCTAAAAGTTTGTTAGCCAAAGGTAAAGAGGTATAGAAATTGTCAGTAACTATTGTCCGTCCAGAATTTAAAAAAGGGTTACTCAACTCCAGGACAACTCTGCATGCTAAGCCTTTGCCGTCAACTTGGTTTTTGCCTGCGTAATCATTCACGTCATGTGTATATCCATTCACCTCGCAAATTTTAAAAAGCTTAACACCATATTTATGGGCTTTTCCTGGTATGTATTGCCGAAATTTCAAACGCCCACGAAAAGAGACCATCGACTCATCTATAGCCATATATTCACTTGGCTCCATAACAGATTGATAATTTTTAACGAGACGTTCAATCAAATCACGAACTTTATAAATCCTATCATTTACAGGGGTTTTCATATTGTCAGGTAGGTAGGGTAAATTGTATTAGGCTCCTCCGGCTTTTAACATATCTCCTAAAAATTCAATAGATCCTTCATTATTATAAAAATGCATGTATTTATCTCTGTTAATTTTTGCATTATCGGAAACATTTTTAGTACGTGAATGTAGTCCAGGACATTCATTATTGCTATTTTCTCACCAATTGCCATTTTGTAATAGGTTCATGTCATCCTGTCTATCAAAATTTGTTGAGGTGACGTAAGAATTTCCACGTTTTCTTAAGAAGTTATGAATTACGCATATTGCTAACACGGCATATGAAGCCTTTTCTGGGTGTAAGTGAATAGCTCCTTGTAATAACCTAAATACCGATGAAATAAGCTCAAATGTATTTTCAACACAGTTTCTTGCCCTCGACAGTCTATTATTGAATGTTCTTTTTTCTTCTATTAATTCTCGTTGAGCAAATGGTTTTAAAATATTATCATGCAGAGCCAAAGCTTCAGCACCAAGGAAAACAAAATTTAAATTATTTACCGTTTTATTATTGTCCGGAAGTTGTAATTTTCTTGTTTTCAAATCCTCGTAAAATTTAGTGAATTCTATTACACCTGCATCGAATAATCTTCCATTTTTCCCCACATCGACGAAAATAAATTCATAATTGCTATTTACAATTGCCATCAAACTAATGCTATAAAATCCTTTATAATTGTAGAATTGAGCTCCAGTGCTGGGGGGTTGCACAACTCTTATGTGTTTTCCATCAATTGAACCACTACAGTTTATAAATTGCCAATGAAATCCCATTGTAACAGTTTCCCATTCTTCTTTCGTTGTAAGGAACTAAAATAAGGTTTTTTGTGAAAATTAGTTTAGTTTATTTTTGATTAATATTAAAATAGCAGAATAACTCGGCCTCCCTCCTGTGCAGTGTATTTATGTTATCACTAATTATTATTTATTATATTGCATTATCGCCTAATTTTATTAAAAGTGGTTTATTCTGGGTACTCTTTTAAAAAGCAATTTTATATATTATTGGAACATTAAAATAATGGTCAATTTTAGTTCTATTTAATATATTTTTTATTTAATTTAATTTAAGTTTAAATTTTGAATTCAAAATTTGTAATAAACATTTACAAATTGGATTTAAATATTTTACTTTTCAAACTAATATTTAAAGACATTTATTTTATTTGTATAGGGCTGTTCAAATACACAAATTCAAAACATAATTAATAATGGTTTTAATGATGATAATATCAGAGTTGAAAAAACTGCAACAAAACTTCGTACTTCCATTCCTTCTGTACTACAAAAAAAAAAAAAAAAAAACGCAAAGCCATTGATCGTCAAAATGATTTTTTAAAAATATGTTCAGAAGCGTTATCCAAAGATGACATCGACGAATACGACGCTTTTGGGATAAATGTTGTTTCAAAATTGAAAAGAATGGATTCAACTCAATCTATACATGCAGATTTACTCATAAATAAAGTATTAACACAGGGGTTATTAGGAAACTTAACATCTGAATTTGATATTTGTAATTAGTCAACAGTCCAGCAAAATTTTGAAAGTCAAAACCTCAGCCAAATTCCTACGTTTTCAAACTATTCATGTAATTATAATAGACCTACATCAAACTCTACAACTATATCAAGTCCATCACCGTCCATTCAAGATAACATAAATACGATATCGATTGAAATATATCCTATATATATTCTACATACAGTGATATGGGTTAAACTTATTTTATATTTAAATAAAATTAAAGGTACATTTTTGTTTTTTATTTTTATTTTTAACCAACTGATAATGTAAATATTTCGATGATTACAGTAAAATCTGAAATATGATAAGCTAATATTATTAATAATAAAGTGGAAAAATGTTTAACAATTATGATATATTTTACGATTTCTAGTTTATTCGTTTTTTTTTGTCTTTAATTTTATTAAAATGGATGAGGATACCTTTCCAAAACAGAATTTCAATGAAAATAAGTACTGGCAAAATCTTTGATTCGATATTTTGAAATCCAGTGCAGTTTGATGAAGCGCTGTTGTGCAAACATGCAAGTTTCTCCACGGAAAGACGTTTATTAATGAATTGCTGCAATTCTTGAATTTGACCGTTGGTAATTTCAAATGTAATGTAGCTTATAGGACGTTCAATTACCGATGGATATTTTTCACAATTTTTATTGGAACATATGATTGATTCAATAATTGTTGGAAATTCCAACATCATTGTATTATTTATACTAAGGCATACTGCAAACATACTACCTATTTCTATTTTAAACATCTATAAGTTAGATAACAATGGAATGGAATATAAATAGTAATTATTTTTATTTTCTTTAAAAATATCCGATTGTATGAATTTTACTCAATTTATAATATACTCGTATATGATATAAATTAATAATAGTTCATTTTAGTCATTCTTCAGTGCTGTGTTTACCATATAAACTGTGAATTAAAGTGCAGTATTTGTACAAAAATTTAATTTTGATTTTTTTTTTTTGAGACATTATTTTTTAATAGAAATATAATTTTATTAAATATCTTAATAATTTATTAACTTTATTATTAAAAATGGCTGGAAGAAAACCTGCAGTCGATCCGTCCAGGATTATTAATGCGGTATTGCAATTCAAAGATCGAATTATAGATATTAATGGCAGTAATAAAAGTAAGTATAACTACATATTATACATAAAATTTATTCGTTCTCTTGGTTTTTAATTATAAAAAAATATTTAATAAATAGTAAAATTGTTAAAGTAATTTTCGCTAATTAAAGTACCCGATATTGTCAGAATTAAAACTTCTTATGCTTACAAAATGTTTTTGTAAATTCAAAAATATTTTCTTTTTATTTTTAAAATAAATTTTAATATATTTTCGTGTTTTTTTGGTCAAACTTAAATTAATTCAGCGAATTTTCACGAAAACAAATTAAAAACTTGGATCTAAAAGTTTATTAAAAAATGTAAGTATTTTTAAAAGGAAAATTTAGGTTAGATTGATATCAAAAACTTACGGACATTTAGATCTAGACCATAGATCATATTAGATATATAGTGAAAAATGATCTTTTTTACATCCTACTTACTTAAAAAAAAAAATAATAATATTGAACAATTAACTAATTTGCTATTTTATTATAGGTATTTTTTTTTTACACAATGAATCACCACCATCATGTATGTTTATATCTTAAGTAGTATCAATTTTTTAAATATTTTGAGTTCGATATTTTCTGACTTGTTCATGAGAAAACGGCGTTTTCGCTCGGGCAAGGAACATTTTCGAGCGCTACCTTTTTCGCGTCACGCTCAATACATATATTATTATAATACATATACATATACGAGTATATATATATATATATATGGATTTCTATCTGTTTGTCCTTTATGCATTCTTAACGGCTGTACCAATTGCGACGGAATTTGGTACAAATATATTAGACCTATGGGCAGAAGATAGGCTAAGATAAAAAGTAATAGGCTCAACCTCGGGAGGTGTTCAAATAACATAGATATTTTGAGATTAACGATGAAAATGCTTATTTATGATTGATATTAGTTTCAATAATAAAGTGCGAAAGAAATTATGATCCCTGAATTTGTTATAATTTTTCATTATTTGTTTCCATGGCACGCGCGTCTACGGCATTAAAATCTCGTTAAAATAAATAAAATTAAATAATAACTAAATTGAATATATAGTATATTTTAACCGTTATCTATCTATATGTATAAAAATATACTGCTAGCATAATCACAGTTAACGATTTTAACACACAATTTGAGACATATAAGAGGTAGGATTTTTAATGCTACGAAGTGCACGGGTTTAGATAGTAATATTATAATTTGGCGGAACACTTTTACCAAGTCCACAAAACACCTGTGTTCCACGGAACACTAGTTAAGAACCACTGGTGTTCTAGAAGCGTAATCGAAGATCATTGAAATATCCAATTTCATCAACATTTCATTTGTTGAAGCTAATATAATCTTTTTACAACTTTCTGTTATAATTTTTTTTTTTATGATAAAGAAAATCTTAAGAAAATTTTTTTATCCAATTTTCATGCCTTAAATATTATATCAATTTTTATGCATTTTCAACTATAAAAATGTACGACTAATATTTTATAAGATAAAATCGGATTTTTGTAATATTTCTGGGTGACTTATGTTGCGTCCCAATGTACCTATTTGATGTAAATTGAGTCCCAAGTAATTTTGGGTATTTTTATATTAAAATTTATATTAAAAATTTACAACCAATATTTTCCTCCCCATTTAAAATATTGCTGTTTGTACTAACACTTTTTTATTTAAAATTATTAATCAGTTGCTAACATCACACTGTTCGATGCACACGCGTACTACACACACAACATTCACACTTAAACAAGGAATATGTCCAAACATTACTCTCAACAATGTATTAATTCCCACATCTGATACAGTTAAATATTTAGGATTATTCTTTGATAAAAGACTTACATGGAAGAAACACCTCCAAACCAAACGGCTAACCTTAAACAATCGCATGCGCATGCTCAGACCTTTGCTAATTAGAAATAAGAACTCCACTCTAAACACCAAACTAACAATCTACAAAGCGTTACTAAAACCAATCTGGACATATGGACTCCAACTGTGAGGCGCAGCAAAAAAATCTAATACTAATAGAATCCAAACTTTCCAAAACATATCACTCCGACGATTATCCAATGCTCCGCCCTATATTTCAAACCACGCTCTTCATAATGATTTCTATATGAAAACAATAGATGAGGAAGCACGCACTTCCTACAAACGATTTCATAAACGACTCCAAACTCATCGAAATCCTCTCATAAAAGATCTTTTCATCCTCACTCTCCCAGGAAATTCCAACCGCAGACTAAAAAGGAACTGGTGCCGTGACCTCTTAGAAAACTTTAATGTCTAACGTCTCATGATCAAAAAAAAAAAAAAAAAAATCTATCTAATCAAAGCCAAGAGTCACTAATGGGTGGTTGCTTAATTCACAACTTTCATGTCGTTTAAATAACTCTCAACCTATAAACTTATTGTGCAAAACTGTATAGATTGTTTATTAAAAAAAAAAAAAAAAAAAAAAAATTATTAAACAATAATAATAAAAACAATTTTTATACGTCATATTATATTAATTATGCAATTAACGTATACATGACAGAAACATGAGCCGCAAGTTACGTATGTACCTGAAGAAATACCGAGTCGCAACTTATGTATGTTGTTATGGGGACCTTTTATAATAAAATATGTAATATGCAATATATGAGCTAATATTATGAGTATATAATATGTACTTTATATTTCTCAGCGTGCGAAATACTATTAAAAGCTGTATATCAGTACTTTGTTTTCTTTGATGTATTAGAAATTGTTGTTGCATCAAATGATGTTTGGAATGATATTAGTATATATCTGAATGGCCGTGTTAGCAAAAATGCAATACATTTATTCGTGCATAGTGATCGTCATAATGTGAAAAAAGCTTAAGGATTACAAGAAGAGTGTATACAAGACATTTGTCAGATTTCTTCAAATAATACTCAGGCAAATATTGCTAATGAACAGGGTAAATAATTTAATACAGGTTTATATTCATTCCTATTAAAATAATTATTTCAGAAATAATATTATTTCATATGATTCTACCGACTATAACAGTGACGATACATCTAATAAATTACCTGTGAAGTGTTTCACATTTACTTTTTCACCGGAAGAATGGAAGCAGATTCAACCTGAGGAAGTAATATATAAGTTAAATGATCGTATGTGACCAATGAGAAGTGCACGATCATATTATGTTCTACCAAAGGGATCATGGACATCATTATTAGGAGAATTGTTTTGGGAACATATGAAATTACTATGTTGTATTAATTTTAAAAGGTCAAAAGTATACGAGTATGGTAGTTCATACATAACCGTACAAGGTAGATGTTCAGTGTGTGGATCAATATTTAAAGGGATTGTGTGAGAAAAACCATCTGGAAACTCCAGGTAATTATTTTACTTTAACATGTTTTTAATTATCTTGATCCTTTGACCTTGGTCTGTCTTAGAAAAATCGTTATGGAATTTTTTCCTTACTTGTATTACCATACATTTTTTTTGATATTTCCATATTACTTTTTAGACATTTCTTAGATTTTTTTTCAACATTTTTGTAGGATTACGTATCTTTGTTGTGTTTAAAATACAAATATTTTACTAAAATAATGCTTTTAAATTAAGGGTTATAATGCAATGTTCATATACTGGTAATTTTGAAGTAGAATACAGGGAAACCAAGAAACATCGATTAATTGTCTCTTCTTTAGATAAGGCATTGAAATCAATAATAGATGACAAAATTTCATGTGAAACATATCAAGAGAGTCAAGCAGTGCGTTTGATGAATATTGGTAACTTTAAAATTATACTTAATGCTTTAATTTAATTTTATACACAATGAATATGATTGTTATTAATATTGGCGATCGACGATATCGTAATTTCGGAAAAAAATAAATGCCCGCACCACAATTAATCTTCCAAGGCCGTGGCCCGCACTAGAGAGTAAAAATAAATAAAAACAAAAACCAAATATATAGAATATATAGAATAATGAAAATCATCAAATTAAGATTATATGGAAAACAATATTGTTAACTTAAAATAATCTCCAATGGTGGCGCTAGACGTGGGTGAAGTGGGCCATTACTTCATAGATATTATTACAAATATAAAATAATATAAAAAATGAAATTATCTTTTATCTTTATCTAGATATTTTTTTTTATCAATTATCTTTATCTAGATGAATTTGGACATATTATCTTTCATGTTTATCTCACAGATATCTATATTATACTAGATAACGAACTACCGATGTTTTCCATTGAGAGAAGTGAAGCCCGGGGACGCAAGATTATCATACGTCCGCCATGTTTTCGGTTGGCAAAACAATATTACTTTACACTATATAAAATAGTTGAACACACTAAATTATTAAATTAAACATTTTTCATTACGTTTAATCAAAATTAAATTTCATTATAGAATTGAGAATATTAATTTGAAATTGCACTATTGATTATTTACATAATGTATATAATATATATTGATTATATTATACTCGTAATCAATGAGTATATTGACACGGCACACAGGTGGTGGTGGTGGTGTGCGCACGGGTCGCTGGTGTTGTACAAAAACGATGGACGATGTTATAATGAAAATAATAATAAATAACGACGCGGGTTGTTGTGGCACAATGTAGGTCTATTAAATACGTATATTTAATAACAACGAGAGAAATAATAATAATAATAATAAGAAGAAGAACAAACGTACACCGCACAAGATGTCACAAATTGTGTATAGAAAAATTGAGATTCACGACGAGGTGTGTATCCGTACGCGATCGCGGAAAAACAGCACGGTTATATGGTGGTACCTGTCGACCGCTCGCGACCCCTGTCCGGTGATGGATGGGTGGATGGGGGTCGCTGCGGCGTTGCGTGCCGCGGAGTGGCGGTTGATGAGAAAGATAAGGACACGGTCGGCGACTGCCGTTTCGATAACGGCTGCCGCACGGGTCCGCGTCAATATAATAAAGAAAATGACATATTTAAATACACAAAACCATATCACTATACTTACTATATTTAGTTTTAACTATTATATATATATATATATATAAATATATTAATTAAAATAAATGTTTATATACTGATATACTGTAGTAGGGTTTGTTTTCCAAGTTTGGTTACTAACCTTAGCGCAATTGATTGAAAAGCCTGAATTGGCCTGATGTTCGAGGGACTTGCTGGACCCCAGATTGCTATTCCATAAGACCAGATTGGTCTTATGATTGACTTATATGTAATAAGTTTGTTTTGGAGTGTTATTTTAGAGTTACGGAGTGGTCGGAGGAGGTGAAGTCTGTTGTTCGATGATTTTCTTATTGGTGGGGGCCCCAAGTTAGTCTTTTATCAAGCATTATGCCTAAGTACTTAATTTTGGTTTGGACAGGGATGGGGGCGTTGTTCATAATTAATTGAGGGCACTCACATGGAAGTACGTTTACGTTCACAACATAAAGGTAATTTGTACAGACTTTTCCGTATTAATTTTTATTTTCCATTTTTTGGCCCATTCTTCAATTTTATTAGCATGATTCTGGAGTTCAGCTGAAGCTAAGATAGGATTTAGACTGGAGAAAAGAATAGCTGTGTCATCAGCGTATGTTGCAAGAATTGTTTATAGGTTCATTTTGATGAAAACCAGTGGGAAGAATAAGAGAAGATGGGACAAAAAAATTAAAAAGTTCAGCTGTGCCTTCAATTTTTTTTCATAAAAAGACACCTAACCATCATAGAAAATCTTCAAAGAAAAGATTATTAAACTCAATTCCTAGTCCTTTGAAACGTTCCAAGTTTATAGTTTCTGAACATAATTATTCTCAGGGCCGGATTTAGGAATGTGGGGGCCCTGGGCCCACCTTTAGAAGTAGATATTTTTTTCGATTAAGTACATAATATATTTAGTAACCAGAATTTTGGTTATGAAAAAACAATGATTTGTTATGATGAAATACGAGGTGTGATCAAAAAATACCGGGATTTTTTTTTTTTTATTTATTTAAATATACAAATAATATTTCAAATATTAGTCTCCTTCAAAGTATTCACCGCCCGATGTTATACACTTGTCCCATCTCTCCTGCCACTTTTTGAAGCAGTGTTGGAAGTCTTCAACTTTAAGTTGTTTGAGTTGATCTACCGTGTTTGCGCTGTACGCGATAAGGCCGCGCACATTTAATTATTATTATTATATGAAAATGATGTATATATTACGCGATGCACCATTTACCGTGCATCCGTATCTTTGTTTTTGTTTTCTTCTGTTGATAATTATTGTAATCACGTTATTTTTGTATTTTTTTTGTCGTTCGTTTGTCGGTCGCGATTGTTGCACCACATATTTATTGTAAAAATACTTCTGTCGTTCGTCGTTAGCCATTGAGGCAACATTGTAATTTCTTTACTTTTCTTTCTTGTCGATATTGCCATTGTGGCATAATTATTATTATTTTTTTTTATTATTATATTTCGAAGCCCGCTAGTGAAGCGGCACGTTTATAATTCTTCTTATTAATATTCTTTATTATTGTTAATTATACGTGTCAACCATTTACTACATTAAATCAATCATCTACTACCAATCTTCGTCTTGTGAGTTATTTTTGATTAATTCTACGTGTAATATTTGTCTACCATCATCTACGGGTCAACTGCTTTTTAACTCGAACGACATCATCCCGTCACGCATAAGTCCGCCAGTACCCGGCGTGGTGTGTGAGAGGCCGCCCAGTTCCTCAAGTTACCACTTTCATCCATTAGTTACCATACTTATCAACGTTTACCTGCCTTAGTTTTAAGTGTATTTTTCAGTGTAAGTATCCTTTTAGCTTTAGTATATTGTCCGATTTGTGTGTGAGCTCTGTGGTCATTGCACCAGAACGATTCGACCACAGAGACTTCCCCCCCGATAACTAAACTCAACTTCCTGTTTTCCCTTGAATAATTAAATTGTTTCCGTTCCTTTCCGGCGCCGCCGTCGTGTCAGAGGTCGCCGCCGAACGCTATCAGTCCATCGTGTATCTTGAGTTGCCTATCTACAAAAGCAGTACACGCGGTACGCGTGGAGTAGATAAAATTGCCTATACGACTTATTCTAGGCACCCACAACCGCATTCTTTTTTATTGTCTCAATATCATCAAATCTTTGTCCTTTGAGGTCAGTTTTAATTTTTGGAAATAAAAAAAAATCACAAGGGGCGAGGTCTGGTGAGTAAGGAGGGTGAGGTACAACTGGAATTTGTTTATCAGCTAGAAACTCACGGATTGATAAGGCAGAATGAGCAGGCGCGTTGTCGTGGTGTAACAACCACGATCGATTTTGGAACTGATCTGGACGTTTCTTACGGATTTTTTCTCGTAATTTAATTAAAATTTCTTTGTAGTAAGTCTGATTTACCGTTTGAGCAGTTGGAACAAATTCGTAATAAATAAGGCCTTTAATATCGAAAAAAGTAATCAACATGGTTTTCACGTTAGAACGAACTTGCCGAGCTTTTTTGGGTCTTGGTAAAGTTACTGATTTCCATTGTGATGACTGTCGTTTAGTTTCTATGTCATAACCATAGACCCAAGTTTCATCACCAGTTATTACATTTTTAATGAACTCTGGGTCATTTTGTGTTCGTTCTTTCAAACTTTGACAAACTTCAATTCGATGATTTTTTTGATCTTGAGACAACAATTTCGGGACCATTTTTGCACAGACTCGTCTCATGCCTAAATCTTCAGTCAAAATAGTTTGACATGATCCAAAAGAAATGTTACACTCACTAGAAAGTTCTCTTATCGTCATTCGTCGATCTGATCGAATAATTTTTCGTACTTTTGCCACCATTTCCAAACTTCTTGATGTTGAAGGTCGTCCAGCACGAGAGTCATCATTAATGTCTTCACGACCCTCAATAAACCTTTTATGCCATTCAAATGTTTTAGACCTGCTCATCGCTTCATCTTCAAATGCTTTTTTAATCATTTCAAAAGTTTCAGTCGCTGATTTACCGAGTTTAACGCAAAATTTAATGCAAACACGCTGCTCGAGTTTATTCGACATGACAAAAACGGCAGACACAATAAAAGTATCCGATTTCAATGAATTGTCGTTCATTACTAACAGTTAATATTAACTCGCGGCTTGAATAACGTAATTGAGTGTTATCTCTATTTTTATTTGATGTGTGTATATTCCCGATTCGATTATTTTTAGCGCATATATAATTTTAGTCCCGGTATTTTTTGATCACACCTCGTATGTTATTAAAATAAGTTTTTTTTAAATACTTTTGTCTGTTTCTTATTTTTCTATGATTTTATTATTCGTTATCCGTTGACCACGTGAAAATATTATTATAAAATTTTTTGTACGGATGGTCAATATAGGAATTTTTTAATTTTTTAATATCATTTTAATACCATTTTTTAATATCATTCATCTCGGATATTTTTATTGGAAGTCTATCATTTTCGTAAGCACGAGTATCTGGAAATTTAATATTCGTTCTGTGTTTTCCTGGTTGCATAAGAGGGAATGTAGATTTTAAAAGGCCATTGATTAATGGATAGCCAAAAATAATTCCGGGATATTCTGAATTGTACATAAGTTGAGAAAATTATGAAATTCCAAAATTAGTTTTTTGATTTCTATGGAAATAGTATCTTTTTTATAATATTTCGGCTACCACGATTTGAAGTTTATTATGTCTGATGTGTTTATTTTAACTACGTGAAACTAATCCGATTTTGCCTGACAAATATGTTCAGTAAATTGGTGTGATGTGTAAATTCAATTTTTTTTTTTTTAAATAACGCTTTATCAATGCAAAATCTCTGTCGCATGGCAGGAAATAATGACCATGTACAGGGAAATTTTGAATAATTTTCTTAAATCGTCCAATATCGGTTAAGGCCAATAACATTCTAGACAAAGTGTGATTTTTGTTCTGACCGTCGCAATTATCAGAATATAAATGAAGTTCATTAACAGAAGTTGGTATATAATTTTTTATGTAGTAATCCAAAAAGGAACAAACTTCATCTGGTCTTTTTTTAGCTTGTCCTTCATGATACAGAAAAATTGTCGATTTACCTGTTTTTATATTATGAACACAAAAAATTGATACTGATAATTGTCTCCAATAAAACATTTCCTGAATAGGAATTTTAGGAAGACTTAAATTTTGCATATAATCAAAACATAAAGCAACAGTGTTACTTTGAATTTTGTTCTTTTCCTCTACTTCAACCTTAAGTTCGTTATAAAACTTTTTGCTTTTTCGCTTATGGACCATTAACTCAGCTACTGCAACTTTTTTGGCGGCATCGTTTAAACATGGATTTTTTATTTTTAAATTTAAATTTTCACAAGTACAACATACATCAACTTGCGGGCGTCCAAATCTCAATTCAAAATTGCCTTTAAAAAACTTAAAATATAAAACATATCCCACTTAAACGTTATGGTATTTGGCTTTAAATAAATTATACATAGTTTTAATACTTAATTGTTCATTCAAATATTTTACTTTTTTACCAGAATAATGACTAATTTTAGTAGGAAACGAATCTATATGATTTTGCATAAGAATTTTAGTTTCCCCTAATAGAGCATTACTAGCACTATGTAAACACCTTTGATCTTTGGGACTTTTACCATGTATTGTTAAATCTCGTAATCTTTTGATTATTTTCATAGACACAGAATGTAATGATAAAAATGCGTTTAAACATACCATTTGTTTAAATTCACGGACGTGAACAAAGTACTTAAAACTAAATTCATTTACTCTTGGATTTGTGATTTTTCTTGGACGATGTCATTGGACTTTGAGAACTTCAATTAAACTTTGTAAAAACAAATCTTGCTGATTTTTTGAGGTCATGGAATATAATCTAGTCAGAATTTTTGTTTTGTTTTCAGGTGAGATCGAGTTAAATCATTTCTTTTTACATCTAAAAAAAAGTTTAACAAATAAACGATGAAAATGAATAACATTATTATTATTAAAGTTATTACTTGCAAGGTGGTCCAGTGGTTTTTTTCTCAACAAATTTGCCTTTATGATTAATAAATTCATCACCAGCTCGTATAGCTTTTTTAATTATGTTTCTTTTATATTAATTTACATTGCTACGTTTCTTTCCAACTTCTATATTATCCATTATGTGTTATATACATACAAATTTACAGTTAACTTGTATAACAATCAGGAAACTGCACTTTTGATAACATGATTAATGTAAAATCATAATCACAACACTAGAAAACTTGATATCACAATATCAGCTGATATTATATTTGATAATAATATTAGATTTATGGTAAACGAGTATTAGTCCATGACTATATCCCTTTTAACAAAAATGTAATGTATAATATGCTTGTTTACAACAGGTTTTAGTAATTCAAGTTAGAAAATACCCAACCAATTTTTGTGTATGAAGCTTTGATATACGATGCAGTAAATGGATAAAGTACAACGGTATCAAGTATGTTATCTGAGAGTCATACTACCATAACCATAATTAATTGGCTAGCAAAATGGTTGAGTTGTAATATTCCATCACCACGAAAAACGGTTTGTGATCAATCTTTAGTTTTACTTTCGGCCATTACTTAATGTTTTACAAAATACTCGTCATTGAAACCCTATAAAATATAGATAGTGCAATTATTTTGAGCAATACGTGTGCATTTGATGCTGTATCTTCATTAATTATAGTTGTATTTTGTGAAAGTGACGATTTTTCAACAGCTCTCCTAGAAAAAAATTAAAAATTTATTGAATTCAAGGTAGGTAGGAAAGTGTTGGTACGATATTATCGCCACTCGGGATGTGGTTGGAGATAAGCTAACGCGGTGTCGGTGTACATATTGTACCTAAGACGTCACGGTACCGCATCATACTCCCCCGTCAAGCCACACTACCGGGGCGCAATTTAGTAGCGCTCAGAGCCGCATCGCCTACTGGTGGCCTGGTGAAGACGGTGGCGTTTCTTTGAAGAACGGCGGGTCCTCTTCTTTCTCCGGCTCCTCTGGGAGCGATGGGACCGGGGTGTCGAGGTAGACGTCGATGTCGTCTCTTCCCGACGACCCAGCGGCGGTCCTGATCAGCACTGCCTCCGGGGTGACAGAGGTCCCGGGGATATAGGTGTCGACCTCCATTGGTTCCTCCTGCGTGGGGGCTGGAGGAATCACGGAGGTGGTGGCAGAAGGCACTGGACACGGGTGCTTGGCCAGCCGGAACTGCTGACTGGTTTCAGCCTTCTGGGTCTTCGTGCGTTCCTTGATGCCAAGGAACCGCTCGTACTTCTGCTGCTTCGCCGTTGGTCGAGCCTGTTCTGGGGGGTCCACGGCGGTGGTCGTCATCTTCCGATCTCCCGGAGTTCCTCGGAGCCCTGATGCCAGTTTTCGGCTCGAGGGCCCTCTGGACGTCGACGAACGACCCCTGGCCGTGTGCTGGCCTCTCTTCGTCGCGGTGGTGTTGACGGCAGTAGCAGCTTTCTTCACTGGTGTGGGCGGAGTGGAAGAGGCAGACACCTGGTTTCCTTTGGGCGGTGGCAGAGCTTGGTGGCCCGTGGTGGTGCCCTTGCAGTCATCGGTGCCGCACGTTGTTGGGTGGCCGGTGGTTTGGCACCCTTTTTTGAGGGTGGTTTGGACGTCACCTCCGCGAAGGACGATTTGGCCCGTTTGGCCGGTGGCTGGACGGGAGTGCGCATCGCCCGGGTGATGGCCGTTGCACAGGCGTCCCATCCGCATTGGAATGCCGCTCCTAGGGCCGAGTCCCACCGCAGCTCGTCCTCCGCCATGTCCCGGACCGCCTGAGCAGACCGAGGACTGCTGCTAGTCGCCGTGACTGCCTCGGTGGCCCGCCTCAGCATCGCCGCTACCTCCTCCATTGACAGCGGGGTGTTGTTACCGGACATATTTCTGAAATGATGGTATACGATGAGGTACCATCCCAATAATTAACGCATACCATTTCTCATTCACTGCGCTGTGAAGTCCGTTTCAGACAAGACACGTGGACTTTGCGTGATGGTGACTGGTCGGTGAGGAAGACTCCTTTTCCTACCCGTTTTTGAAGTGTTACCGGTCCCCATCATTTGGGTGCGAAACCGGCGTGAAAGCCCTCGTGTGCCTTGGACAGGTGGTGTGATTTGTAGTAGACTACGTCTCCTTCGCAAAACTCTTAGTCATTGCTACCACCTGCCGTTTACTTGGTACCTAAAACACGCTGCTCACGCGCTGACCTTTCCGTTTCGAGTAAGTCGATAGGAACGTGCATTGCTGGCGACAGTGCCCAATCCCCCGGTCTTCTACATTCTCTGCCAAGAACGAGTGTCGCAGGGGTGTAGCCAATCTGCTCATTTCGCCTATTCCGTATCGTAAACAGGATTGGGGCCAGTTTTGTGTCCCAAGAGCTGTGTTTGCCATTCACTAATTGTGCGCACAAACCTTTTTTCAACTTTTGATTTCGACGCTCAACGGGGTTGGCCATCGGGTGTTATACCGGAGTTGTCCCACCTTCCGTTCCCCAATGATCTAACGCGTTTTTCATTTCAATTGAGGGCCGATATCGATGAGACACACGCGTGGGTAGCCGAAACGGGAGAAGAATTCGCGCTCAAGTGCTTCGGTAATTGTTTTGGTGGTGGCGGTGCCTAATGGGTAAGCCTCGGTCCACCGACTAAAACAGTCGGTCGCTACTAGTATATGTTTTACCCCTACTGGTGCGAGGGTAGGGGCCCATAAGGTCAATACTAATAACTTCCCATGATTGTTTTGGTGTTCTAGCGCGCATAGGGTCATCGGGACGTGTGTTTAGTGATTTCGTGCATGCGCACATATGGCACGAGTCTACGTATAACCTGACGTCGTTTTTCTGATCCTTCCAGTAGAACCTGTGCCTAACAGCCCTGTACGTTTCTTTCCAACCTGGATGTTTAGCTAAAACGTGATCGTGGTACCTCCAAATGATGTTTTGTGTTTTGGACTTGGGTACTACGACTAGGGTGTTATGGCCGATGTTTATACGTAGAAGTTCGTCGGTAAAGACAAATGTGTCATTTCCGGTGTCGGAGCTTCTCGTATTGCGCGCCGGGGTTGTG